TGTTGGAGGACTGGAAGAATTAGTAGAATTAGTAGAAAAACTAGCAGAGGGTACTACTACCACAAGTGACACCAGAAGTGAAGCTTCACTTTTATTGCAAAATATGCTGAATTTTAGTTTTATAACTTTAGTTCATTTCTGGCATAAAATCTTGAGGAGAATTGATCGTGTGCAGCTTAGGTTACAAAATCCTGAAATGAATTTTAGAGAAGCGTTCTTGATCGTCTGCAGCAGGAAATAAATAAGCGACCTAAGTGATCTTAACTCCAAATTTGGATTTTTACTGGATGTTGAAAATTTATTAAACAAGGGTAATGTTGATAATGATCTTGAAAAGAATTGTAAAAATTTGGGTGAATTTTATAATGCAAATTTTAATGGAACAGAACTCTATGTCGAAATATGTGATTGCAAGATGTTACTCACCAGTAGAAAAAGTTAACCTAAAAACTCCATTACAGCTTCTTACCATTATAACATCGTATGGAGAAGATGTTTTTCCAAACCTGAGAGTCGCTCTACAAATACTCCTTACTATTTCAGTATCAATTGCTAGCTGTGAACATTCGTTCAGCAAAGTAAAATTAATTTTGACACATCTACGATCAACGATGGGACAAGATCGCCTAAGTGACCTAGCATTTTTAAGTGTAGAAAGAAAAAAATTTTAAATGATCGACTTTAATGAAGTAATTGATAAATTTGCTTCATCAAAGGCAAGAAAAATATATACATAATAATTAATTGTATTCATTTATTATAATATAATATTATATTATTATTAAATATAGCGACCTTATATATATTAACTTTTAAATTGTTTGAAAATTGTACTTTAAAAAAAAAATTAATTATGTTAAATAAATAACATCTTTAACTTATTCTAGATGACCGTATGTCCGATTTTTCTACTGACCGACAGATTTCCGAATCCAATTCCAGTCTTGGTTTTTTAACAAGATTCTTTTGCCTCAAATTTAATTTTTTTTTGGCTAAATTATCTCAAGCCTAACCTGAGCCTGTGTCCCTATATATCTCGAAAAACAGAACAGTATTTTGTTAGAAGAGTACTTGCAGTGACTATTCGTAATATATTATAGAATGTTTTAAGCTAGGTACTGTAACCTTTTATTTTTGAATTATATTCTTATTACGAGTATATTCTATATGTTTTTAGGGGGGGCGCCAGAAAGGTATCGTGCCCTGGGCGCCAGTTATGCTAGCTACGCCACTGACTTCAACTGTTATTTGGAAATTATTAATGTTCCATTTGGCCAAGGGTTTGGCTCCAGAGCTTCATATTTTCTAAAACTATAAACTTTAAAGAGCTATTTTCTTGATTAAAATACCAAAATGCAACTTAGCCAAGATAATCATGTTTAATGTTTTTCCATTCATTTCTTTTTGTTTATTTGTGTACATATATTTATATTTATAATTTCACCATCAACTGTAATGTATGGTATTGTATTTGTAATGTCATTGTCATCAGCAACTGTATCTCCCGTACCACAAATTCTCTATGCCCTAATAATTAACGTTTCAATTAACACCGATGCCTGGCGTAAGTACGCCCTGTGGAGGTGTTCATCTCAAGATGATTAGTGTGAAGGAGCAACACCAGTTCTGCCAATGGCAATGTGTTGGTGCTTCCCACACTTAGTCCTGTCCTGTCCTGGTACTTTACTTGGATTTTTGTTTTTTGTTTTTTTGTACTGGCTTAGTTTCTTGGACATAATTCAAGGGGTACATATGCACGTCATATACACCCTTAATTTTCACAATTATTGGTCATAAATGTGTACTTTCAATTACAAAAATGTTTTAAGTAATGGAAATATTCATCCTTTGGCATTTTTAAATTTAAAAAAAAAAAATTAGTTTTGTAAAAATTATGAAATTTTATTTTTATATGGTCCATCCATCCCTAAACTTTTGAAGTAAATATAATGCTGATTATAAAAAGTAAAATACAAAACATGTGACTCTTGCTTGACAAAAATGCACCAAAATATAAAGATTATAAAGTTGGAAATTAAATTTAGGGGCTGTGTACAAACTGAAGAGTAAAATGTTTGCATTTGTATGTAACAAATTAAATGTCAGTATAGAAAAAGGTTTCTTGATATTAATAAAGTGTTTCTGTGCATAGTGCCATGAAAAATATTGATCAATATAATGTTTTTCACAGAATTTTATAGAATTTGTGTTCTAGAAAACATACAAGCTTCAACATAGTTGGTACATACCCAGCTGGAACATTATTTGCACAAATTAGAAATGAAAAATATTTCTAGTTTATTGAATTTTTAGTTTGGTCATTATGATTCTAAAGTAATAGAACTTCAGGAGGGTATTAATAATATATTTTTAGTGTTTGAAAACTTATAAATTACTCGTGTAAAAATTTTTCAACTTACCAGTTCTAATAAAATTATAAATTATAGAATGTTAGATTCTAGTAAATCATAAAAGAATATCAACGAAAGGTATTTGAGAAGAAACTATGTACCTACAGTTTATGTAATTTATTTATTAACCAACCAATCAAGGCCGATTGCAAATACCATCAAATACCCAAACTTTTTTAATTATCTCCATCAATTTTTGTCATATGCGAGTCAGATTTTTAGCCCAAAGAGTGTTTAACCTAGAAGGGCTATTAATTTTGTTTTGGGATTTTGCATTGAGAACTTTAAATGTCCGTTTCACTTTTCAAATTTTTGCTACTAAATATTATTGCTCTGCACTATATTTAAAGAAGTTAAATGATGAAAATTCTACATAAATGTATGTATGTTTCTCGCATTGTGATAAAATAATGGTACCTAGAGCCATCAAATTGTGAATAAAGTAATCCTCCACCGAATATGGGCATCTGGAAGCCCCTAATTTGGAATTTGTTTTATTATCTATTTCATATTTTGTAACACTTGAACGAATTTTTGATTAACAAACTCGATCATTTAAAAGCGAGCAATGGTAACACCATACAGCAAAAAAAACAATTTATTTCCTGTGTGCAAGACTTATTGGAAATTCTAAAGATATGCTCATTTTAAAATTATTTTGTGATATTGCTGTTGAATTGAATTTTATGGTTTAAGTGCGAAGAACATGATATTTAATAAATAAAGGTTACACACAAAACATTAAAAATGGTCTCTTTGGGCATAATGTAAAATCTGAAAGTTTTCAGATTTTTTTTTTTTTAAATTTTATAAATGGTCATTTTTATCCATCACTTTTAACAGCCGTATTACTCAGTTACAGTGTTATAGTAATTATCAAAAAATTAAAGAACACAGACAAAAGAAAAGTAGAAACAAATAGGAGACAGAGTCCCTCCCCCCTTCAGATTTTTTTCTTTTTTTTTCATTGATGAATATAAACTTTTCGAAATATAAGGGTAAGGATGAGAGACTTTATGCCCATGGTGTATGTTTATTTTGTAGTATTTCACAAAATATTCTAGGACATGTATATGGCCTTTTTGGGCAGATGCGAAGAGGATGCAATTCCAGAAAATTGTCGATGTTACTTATGGATACCATACTTTATTATTAGTGTGGTGCTGAAAAATGCAGTATAGAACACTATATAGAGATGTCAAATATCATTCCACCTTCTCTGTTGTAACGTGCAAAGTCGTTCAACTTTAATATACAGGGTGCAGCTAGGGAATTTTCTTATTTGAAACACGTGCCATCTAGCGACATTTATTCCGAGAAGGGTAGGGTGGCGCTCATTGAAAAGAGCAGTGTCTAAAGTTTTTTGTCAATTAGGTTTAGTACTGATCATGCTGTAGACGAGACAGGGGAACATGTCTGCCGTGGAGTCGTACTTTTCAATCAGGGGCATAGCTAGAGGGGGGCAAGGGGGGCATCTGTTCTCGGGCGCAGAATCCAAGGGGCGCCAAACTGATGTTACGACATTTTAGAATTGAATGTTTTCCATCCTTGGCAAGCAGTAGGGGGTGCGAAATCTTCAGTTGTCCCTGGGCGCTGAAAACCCTACCTACGACTCTGTTTTCAACGTACTGCATTTTCGTCCATATAAATTTGGCAGTGGTGCAAAAACTTAATCCACGCGATTTTCTTTTGCAAAAAAATGCATGCGAAGCCGTTCTTGACAATATGCCTCATGATGCCCTTGTGTTGTTTAGCGATGAGGCTCATTTTCATCTTTCTGGTTGCTTGAAAAACAAAACATATGTGATACTGGAGTGGTAGGAATCCCCAAGAACATCATGAGCAGCCCCTCCATACAGACTGTGTGACTGTTTGGTGTGCATTGTCCAGAATAGGCATCATTGGACCATGGTTTTTTTTGAAGAGCATTTTCCTGAACACCTTATTTCCTTGCGAGGTGATCATCAGTGGCCAGCTCGTTTGTCTGATTTAGCCCCGTATGATTTCTTTTTGTGGGGCTATCTGAAATCTCTTATCTTCCAAAGACTCTGGCTCAACTGAAGAACAATATTCAAGCTTCTATGGACAACATACCCGTTGATATGCTGGTAAAAGTTGAAAGAAACTTCAAAATTCGACTATCTTAATGCATTGACCAGAATGGAGGCCACCTTAATGATATTATTTTTAAACCATAAATAATAATAATAATAATAATAATAAAAACTTTAGGTGTCTCTTTATAACTTGGAAAAATATTAAACTGATATCACTTATACTATTTTTGTTATTCATTTTTAAAATAAGGTTTCCCTGCCGCACCCTGTACTTAGATGCTGATTTCTTAAAAAACGACTTTGCTGATGCATCCTTCCATTTATATAGTAGAAAATATAGAAAGGGGATCTATTAGAACAAAGCAACTGACTGTATTCTACAAATAAGTATTTTATTACTTATACAAATGTTGGCATTTCTGTATATATCCTATCCTACTACTGTAGTTAATTATTTTGAAGATATCTTTTAGAAATATTTATTAATATTAAATTTTTATTATATCTCTGAATAGTTGTTAAAACATTTCAGGGAAAAGTTGGTGAAGCATGGAAAGATGAAGAGGTTGTAGCCGAAGCAACCAATGTAGACGTATGGATTGCAAAGAATGTCATCACCCTGTTAGATGAAGACTGTAGTATTCCATTTATTGTGCGGTACAGGAAAGAAATGACTGGAGGATTACAGGCAGAGAAACTGCGAGAAATACAAGCATCTTATGATGAAGTGAAGTAAAGTTGTTTGAAATTTCTAATCATTGTGCAGATAATCTTTGTTTTGTTACCTATGGTGGCGTCTGTTCTAGTGAAGAGTTTATATGCAAGTTTCAGTTTACAAAACTCAGTCTTTATGATTCTAATATATTTTGCATATTATAATGAATTACTGTATGAATTGAAGAATATGAAATTTGTATGACTCTTATGTAATTTACATAGATCATATACATGAGTAAGTACTTCTCACTGTAAAAAATCAACTTAAGATTTTTTCATAGATTATTTTGGGAATTTTAAAGCACAGATATTGTTTTTTTTTTTTAACATCCTTTTGTTGTTTAGTTATAATCTGAAAGATCAGATTGCCAATTTTTTAATTTTATGAATTTATTTTTTAATTCATCTGTTTGGGGGAAGACATTATTGTAGCTTATCTGTGATGTTCTGAGTGATTGTTTTAGAAGGAATATTAGGCTTTTTTGAGCTTTATTATAATGAAATTCTGCTTATGATTGCAAGGAAAGTGCATATTTAAATGTGCATTATATTCACATTAAGCAAGATTTTTTAAATAATTTTAGTAAGCTGTTACATACATATTTAGTATAATTATTGTATGTTTTTATATAGAATGAGTCATGCGAATTTGTTGTTATTAATGTGCTAATCTATATTTAATTTGTTATTATTAATCTGTTAATATATATTTAATATGTTATTATGTATTATTGTTAAATATTTTTATTTTCTTAATGTTGTTTGACATTATAATTAATATTCATAATTCTTAATATTGTTGTTCGTTTCTAAACATTTCAGGATAGTCCATAAAAAAGTTGAAAATATTTTAAAAAGTGTGAAAGATGAAAGACTAGATGAAAATCTTGTTGCTTCCTTTTTAAGTGCCAAAACCCTTGAGGAAGTGGAACTTCTGGTTTGTTTTAATTTATTTAAATGTAAATTCTTCTACCAAAGTTTCAGAATGCAAAATGTTTTGAACAATTTTTTTAACTTTATAGTTTTGTATTCTTGGTAACATAAATTAAAGAGCTCTAGAAAGACTGTAGAGGAATTATCCTCTGGTCTTATGTAACAGACAAACTCAGAAGAAGGGTGTAAATGACCATTTATTCAATCACAAAGAATTTACAGACGACCACACTTGGGTTTACATGATCCAACACTTTTAGCTTAACTTAAGCAAGTGATGTTGAACTTAAAAAAAATTCAATTAAACTAGCCTAACAGCTTACAGGAAAATTTAAACGCACAGGAATGCTGATGGGATAGATGCTGGTGGGAAAGCCTATTGGCTAAAATCACTCAAGGTAACAACATGGCCTTTAAGCAGGCATAACACACTCTAAAAACAATTCCTGATATCTTTGCTTAAATAGCACTTTCTCCCAGGAAAGTGTGGGTGAAAAGAAGAGCAATAGGAAAGTTGCTTTAGTTAAAAATTAATTATTAATCAAAATAAATAAATAAATCTGCACAACTTTCATTTGAAAGAACAACAGTCATGATAAATCTTTTGTTGGGGGAAAAAAATTGGGGGGATTTTAAAACCAGTTGAATGTTCTATATTCAGTGCATGCATGGACAAAATACAATACATAATATACACTTTACTTTTGTAATTTTTAAGCCTATTATTATTATCATTACCCCAGAAGGGCTATTAATTTCATTTGGTATTTTGCGTCGAGAACTTTAAATGTCTGTTTCACTTTTCAAATTGTTGACTCTTATGACACCAAATGTTATTGCCCTGTGTTGTATTTAAATAAATTAAATAATGAAAAATCTGCATAAATGTATATATGTTTCTCATATTGTGATAAAACAATGGTAACTAGAGCCATCAAATGATGAATAATGTAATTCTTCACCGAATATGGGCATCTGGAAGCCTAAATTTGAAATTTGTTTCATTATCGATTTCATATTTTGTATAACGAATTTTTGATTAACAAACTCAAGGATTTCAAAGCGAGCAATGGCAAAGCTGTATTGAGGGAAAAAAACATTTTTTATCTCTAGCATATGAGACCATGTATCAGAAATCCTAAAGATATGCTCATTTTAAAATTATTTTTCAATGTTGCTTTTGAATTGAATTTTATAGTTTAAGTGCAAAGAACATGATATTTAATAAATAAAGGTAACACACAAAATGTTGAAAAAATACCCCTTCGAGTGTAATGTAAAATCTGAAAGCTTTCACATTTATTTATTTATTTTTTGTTTATTTGGTTCATTTTTTGTTGTTGATACAATGATTCTTGAAGACTGTTTTTTGAGTTGATGGATTTTCTTGTAAACGGCACACTGCAAAATTACATTCTGTCTTATATATTTGTCAAAGCTTTTTCTGTGTAAAAGGAATGCATGGCAGGTTTCCCTGTGTTAGTTTTTCTCAAATACTTTTGGCTCATAGTGTCACTGGTGCATCAGAAGTTTTCCACTGTGCCCCAAAGAAAACAAGAAAACGTTATCAGGACTTGTATTCCTCTTGATTTGCTTTGGGAACGTGAATGGTCCTGAATAAGAACTGGGACCTTACTCAAGCTATGTTCAGGAAGGTGTGAAATAGACAACACAAGCAGGAAGGGTATACGAAACCCTTTTATTTTCTATCTTTACAGTATTCCCGAACTTCGGGATACAGAGACCAACCACTTGTGGTCTGAAGGTAAGAATATAAAAACTGCTAACTAAAACTCTAACTAAAAACTAACTTTGAATTAGTATACAAGTGCCTAGCACTAAGCTTGGCCTTTATTTATGTAGTACGCCGAGCTGCTAAAACTACGATACGTCTGCAATTATCAAGAGGGCTAAACCTCTGGCCTTGATGGCAACCAGCAACAGAGTGAACACTCGTAAAACTACAGTGGCAAGCGGCTTGCTTCCTATAACTCCTTCCTCTCTCTTGCTTGGCAAAAAGCCACAACTTAAGTACTTGGCGTTAGAAAGACAATTTGCATAAATAAGTTAAAGCTTTTAAATCTGGCCGGAAGTAGAAAATAAGAAGTGATAGTAAAGATTTAAAATAAAATAAACATTATTAAAACTTAGGATCCTTACATACTTCCCGCCAGAGTTAATTAGTTTGAAACTGAGGTCTAAAACGAACTTGTTGAAAATTTTTAGCTCTAAATCTAACACGAGGCCAATCTTTTACAAACATTTCTCACTAGAAACTATCTAATCTAGAAATTAAAAGTCGTTTTTACATGATCAGCTCCATGGAGAAATAATTTTCATCTGTACTGCATCTATAAACAGGAGTTTCTTAGTTGAATCTGGTTCCTTCCTGAGATCTGGAAGGAAAACTAGTTTAATGAACTGTTAAACAATCAAATGGCAAGTAACATGAATACTTATATTTCTCTTTTAAAATTCTTATTTCATTCATGCCATTATTTAATTATCTCCCCGTGCTCTCTGACATGTGTTGTAAAGAAAAACACCAAACAGCTGCGTGTCTATGTACAAGTGTTCAACACTACCGCCTGCAATCAAAACACTAACGTGTTAAAATTTAACATAACCAGACCTCAGAACACATCTTATATTCATCTCTGAACCCTGAGATACTTTTCTCAAAAAGTGGCTAACTCTGAAGTGTAGCGTCAGAGAGTCTAACTACATTCATTCAACCCTTAGCACATATTCACAATAATTTGCTCTTTTTACAGTCATATGAATAAGTTAAAATTTTGGTATTACTCTAACATTTTCACTTTAAATATAGCACAGTATTTCTTAACTTTTAAGATAACAGTTCACATTGTACATAAGGACATATTAACATGCCGTTAATTTTACAGATTTTAAAACATACATTAGTAGTACAATGTTTATTAACTTCGATTTTTCTTCCAAGCAAGTGCTAATTCTTTTACATTTAGATACTACATTTCAAAAGTCCTTCAGACTAAAATTCTTTTCTTTACAGAATCTTTTAAATAAAATTTTATACAATAATTTTACAATTTTAAGGTACCTTTCTCAAAGATTACCAATGCTTTTACAATACTCAAGTATTTACACATTCCTATTATACAATAATTTTAGGTTTACTCGCGAGTAATTGAAAAACATAGTAACAAAATAGGTAAAACTCATTTCTCGCCTTTTTGGCAATAAAGGTAGGCCTCACATGAGGTAACACTTCTTAAATTCTGCCACTTGCAGTAAGAATGAAAAATTAACTTAAAGTTTCAAAGTAACATAAAGTTTTACTTATCTTTGTGATATTCAGACATCCTTTTTGTTGCCCAGTCCTGGAAAGTGGCGAAGACTATCGTCTGTTTTATCCTCCTTCTTGTGAGGGTTCGCCCTTCGGTTCCTTCCACCATGAGCTTTCTTTTCTTCAGCTTTCTTTTTCTTCCAGTTCGGTCGCCCGTAAAGAATTTCTTTTTAACATCTGCTTGAACTCCCGGCCGTTTGATGGCAGGTGGTCTTGGCGGAACCGGGACAACTCTGTCTTGTTGTTGCCTGGATCTCGTTGCTGGCTGTTCAAACTTTTCTTGCTTCCTTGCATCTGCAGCTGGTTTTCCTTCGTCAATTCGTTGACATTTGCTGCGTAGACTCCTATCCGATGGGTAGATCTTCCATTTTGGAGCTGTGTTATGGTTGCTTCCATTTCTCCTGGCTCTCTTTGCATTAGTCGAACTTCTCCCTTCTTCATTCTGGGGGTGGTCGTGCCCTCTCTTTTCTGGTCGGTGGAACGGCTTCTTTTTCTTGTTACCTTCAGTTTTCCAACGGCAAACTTTCTTTTCAATCGCACCTGTCTACTCATGGCTTGCCCTTGTGATTGTCGTTGTGCCACCTCTCTGGAGATTGTGCCTGACGTGTCACCTCTGGAGATTGTGCCTGCCGTGCCGGATCCTTGCAAAAGATCTTTAAATATTGGCATTTTATTACGATTATAGAATGGTTTTATCTGGTCAATGTTTGCGGTGCAGGTTTCACCATTCCTGGCTTTTAACACCACTGCAGCCTGATTTACTTTTTCTATGATATATGGTCCTTCAAATCGTGGATAAAATTTGGCAGTTTTATCTTCTGGTGCTGAAGAAAGTGAATGCTTAATTTTTAACACTTCATCCCCTACTTTATACGTTACTCCCCGTCGTTTCATATCGTAATACAGCTTCTGTTTTCTTTGTACTACTTCAGTGTTCTTCTCTGCTTCTTTAATTAATTTTTCTATATCGCCCATTTTAAATTCCGAGGCTCTTTGTTGAGCATAAAATAATTCTAACGGCGTTATAATCTTTCTGCCTAAAAATAACTCAGCAGGAGTTTTGCCCGTCGTATCATGTTTTGCGGTCCTAAGGGCGAAAGCTAATTCATCGACATAGTTATCCCAGCATTTATGAAAATTTTTAACATAACTACGAATAATTTTCACTATATTTCTATTGACCCGTTCCGCTATATTTGATTGCGGCCAATACGGGACCATTTTTAAATGACGTATGCCCAGTTTTTGGCACTTGTCTTCAAATATATTAATTACAAATTGAGGACCGTTATCCGATATAACTTTTAGGGGCACCCCATATTTTAAAATATATTTATTTAAAATAGAATCAGTAACTAATTTCGCGGAGGCTCGTTTTAAAGGGAACAATTTCGATCCACTTGCTAAAATGAACAACCATAACAAGGAGATACCGACTTTTATTTAACTGACTTTTCGCGAAAGGGCCCAATAAATCGATGCCAATTATTTCATTTGGAAATTCTGATTTAATGCTATTTAGAAACCCGGCCGGGCGGAAATTAACATAATTAACTGCTTGACATGTTGGACAGGACTGGACATACGCCCTTGTTAACTTTTGCAGCTCAGGAAAATAAACTGCTTCGCGTACGCGTTGGATGGTTTTTCGAATACCACCATGATAAGCTAAAGGC